AACCAGTAAAATTAACTGGCATTAGCAGGGTGAAATCTGGGGGTGTCTCACCGCTAAGCGATCTATGTAGCGCGTTCCGAAAAGTGCAGATACCTAAAACCCTAAAACGAAACGAAACGGCGATACCAATTTTTCGGCAGGTCGTGAACACTACTTTTACCTTCCAGACTGTGTTCTTAGACAAAGCGCTATGGGATTTTCTCCTTCGATTCTCCTTTGGCTCTGCAGAGCGACTTTATTTGTCACCACATTTTCGTTTACTTATGCTTAATCTTAGCCCGGAATGGAGGGCAGCTGACGTAAGGTGTATTTTTTAAACATTTCATATTAGAGATATCGTACAAAACGAACGCATTATAATTAAATTATAAAGTTAAGTATCGCCTCTTGGAAGGGTCTTGGATTCTGGATTCCTAGCCGTAAGTTCCGGATTCCAGTCGTTAACAGTGGAACTTGGATTCTGGATTCCAGATTCCTTGAGCCCTATTCCAGATTCCAAAGCCCAGGATTTCACATTCCACAAGCAAAAATTTCCCAGATTCCGATTACACGGTTGGCGAGAGTATGCATGTTCTCTGCCAGTCTCCATAACTTAAAGTGTTAATATAATATTATATCATATCAAAACAAAATAATAAGTTCTAACGCTGACCTGTCTTTTTAATTCTGACACTTCCATCGTCCCAGCAGCCAAAGTAACCGTCGCATGGCCGGCGTTTTGGGACGCAGATTTTACGATATTGCACTGCGTGTCCCTTGGCAATATAATAACTGTAAAACATAGCTGGATGGGATTTGGTTCCAATCCCCTGCTGATACCTGGTCACATGACTTCTAATCTTGATCCCAGAAACTTTTGTTCGTTCTAGTGATGACATGACACAGTCCACTTTGGATGTCTGGGATTCTTTTTTCGATGCTCGTTTGCCTGAGGTCTGTTTTTTCTTTAGCTTTGGACATCTCTTCCGTTTTTTCCAAGGTAGAATACAGACGGGCTTTCCTCTTTTCAAGGACCCACCTGCATTAAAATAAACCGATTAAAGCGATTGATTTACTGAGTGGCTTGTCCGACACCTTCTGTGTGTCCTTCTGACAGAAAAAAACCTATGGTAAAATCCCGGATGACAAAACCCAGCTGGCCGGAATTTGAGAAAATGCAATTTAACCTTTTGTTTTCTTAAGAGAAAAAAATCATCTATTACACTGCACAAACACGACTTCATTATTATAAATGTTTTGGTTTTTATGTGGTATGACAATAAAAACGAACAACAACTACCCGTATCATAAATTCTCCGGGGCCAATACAATCCACAGATTTAGTATTCGACTGGTTTCCTCCAATTGGAATTTGTTCCTGAATTACTTATCTTATCCTCATATCATAGCTCGTACAATTTTTTTTTTGTTAGTTTCTTAGTCATTTCACAAAAGACTAAATAAACTATGTAAGGGAATGTTTCCTTTGTGGTATGCGAGTCTTGTATCGTTGAAACGAACCGAACTGTCTAGATTAAGCGGTGCGGATATAGATTTCTCTGTTTGAGGTAGTTTTGTTTTGATTTTAACTGTAAACAGCGAGATTAGCCAGTAGGAGGGGAGTGTTCGTTTTGTGTTCTTTTGATCTGAATTTCTTTGTTACATACGAATACCCAGGAAAAAATCGAAACAAAATTATAAAGTTATAACTGACAGAACATTTGAAATACCGCGGTTCAAACCTAGTTCGGAATTGTCTTGCCAAACAGACGGAAATAAATAATACATTAATTAAAAACAATTTGAAAACCGAAAAGAAATAATATGCTTCACTTAATTTTTCGCCTTTCTTAAGACTGCCACTAAGGCACTTTTTCATCTATTAACTTTCATGACATATGCTTACAAACATGATTGTTAAGCAAATGTTCGTCTTACCAGTTTCTGACTTTTCCTTGGAAAATGTTTCCTCCGGGCATCCATAATATCCATCGCAGACCATACGACTTCGCATCCGATACGCCATTTTGCTCACATTACAGGAAAACCTTCTTGCCAAGCCGGAGCTCAGAAGTCGAGTAGTTTGCGTCCCCGACTCCATAAACTTCTCAGTTTTTTTCCAGAGCGGAAATGTAAAATATCGGGTCTGAATCTGATTCTCAAGCGTTAAGTTTCCAGAGTACAAAAGAAAGAGGCGCAAAGCTCTTCGTTCAGAATCAGCTGCTTCCGATTTACATGCAGAATATTCATTTTCCATTGGTAATTGAGATTCATAAACAGAAAAATAACTCGGAATGAAACTTTGGCGTCGCACTAATAACATATGTCCATGGCCATAACAATTTGCCATGGCGAGATGATCCCGGTATTTAAGAGTAGATACTTAAATCGAAAAGTTGGATGTCTCCTTGATCTTAGAGGAAAATAAATTTCTCTTAAAAATTAGAATTTCTTTGTTAGTAATCTTCACCTTTTAACCACTTGAGTCCGAATACGGTCTCCGATAATTAAGTTTGATCACATTTGCCAAAAAGTATTTATAATTTACGTCGCACATGAGTGTAAACTACAACTTTGTCATCAAATCAGACGGAGTTGACAAGCACGTAACAAGCTGTGTAATAAAACCTAAACCTCTTTCAGATAAAAATAAATCATAGGTCTGAATTTGAGTAGGCATCACAAAAGTAGAATGTATTCGAGGTTAGATACACTAAGAGATGCTATTGATGAAGGAAACCAAGAGTAGTGAAAGTGGAAACATTAAAAAGCTTAACGCTGTGAAAAAAAAAGAAGAAGAAAAAAACTACTGTGAGAAAATGTTTTTGACACTTTTGAAGAGGAGTATTCAAACCATTCTCCGAAACCTCACAGTTGTTAAAATTTAATGCGTGATTTACTTTTACTATTTCTTATGAAATATTTATGACTTGAAATGTAAACTCACTGAAGACTGATCACGTCCATAATTTGAAACGATTAACACCTTTCATTGTACTTGATTCTTAATTGTTCTTAGCCCATATTTACCTTCCTTACATATCCTCCCCCAAAATGCGTAGAAAACTGGTCTAAAAAAAAATCACCATACAAACAATAGTGTACTTGCACTGTATGAAAAGCATCGCCGAGATTTTATAAATTGTGCAATTCCGCGATTATTAAGGCCGCAATAATTTGCAATCTGACTCATAGACAAAGACACTGATTGCAAGCGACAGAGATGTGTATGAAAGAGATTTTGCGATTCGCAACAAATAGTGTTATTGTCAAATTCTTTATCTTTATTGGTGTCGTCTCTGTAGACTTTAAGTGCCGTCTTCATCAGGTCTATCAATCGCCGTATCGATAGTTTGGTCAATCAATCAATCAATCAATCGATCAATCAATCAGTCATTGACAATCATTTAGCCAGTCGATCGATCGATCATCGATCGATCAAACAATTCATCAATCAATCGAGCAAATGAATACACATATTACTAATACTAATAAATGATTAACTTAAGACCAATTAACAAATAAATTCATGGGCTTTACTTTGGTCTGATTGTCACGTCACCGTCCGTGGGTTTGCACTTGTACTTCGCGAGCAATAAAAGAAGCCTGGGATACAGTTCCGACAGGGAACAAAGCCGCCATCGGTTTGTCATGTGGGTCAATAAATCTTTCAAAATTTGGCCAGCAATCACCCGTTACGAAAAAAATAGCCTAGGAATTTAAGCCTTCAAAAACTCGTTTTTGAAGGTAACATAAGATAACGAAAGTTAATTAACAATTATTCCTCGAGCCCGAATGGGCTCTGAGTCAATAGCCCATGAGGCCGAAGGCCGAATGGGCTATTGACTCAGAGGCCGCTACTAATTAACGATTATTCCACGAGGGCGCGTTGGATATGAGATGATAGATAGCCAACGAGGCGCATAGCGCCGAGTTGGCTATAATCATTTCATATCCAACAAGCCCGAGTGGAATAATTGTTTTATTAAAAACGCCCACAAAATCTCGTTGAATCGCCCCGACTAGAACAAACCGGAAAAGACAAGGGACTTCCGCTATTGACATGTCACACGTCTATCAAAACTGTCAACGCGCGAACCGGGCTCGCCTAGACTGCATGAATGAAAAATCAAAACATTGTGCGATGAACATTAGTTTTTTAAAAACTCATCGTGATTCTAGGATTTTACACAGCAGAACAGCTTAAAAAACCTGGCAGATAATGTGAAGGAAAGGAATTTTTAAGTGACAGCCGTCGAAATTACTATGAATTTGGATTTTCGGTGCAGTTATAAAAGTAAAACCAACGGAGAAAAGTTATGAAGTTGTTTGAAGCCACAAGCTGGTTTTGCTGAACGAGAAAAGAAGCTATACTGCCGCCTCGATTGCTCTAGTGAATGGCAGCATAGCCTGTATTTGTAGCTGGTTACTTGTGATTTATATTCTTGATGTCGGATAAACAAGCTGCAGTTATCTATCGGCGAGTGACTCGATCGGCGAATGGCTTCGCGATCATGAAGAAACAACACTTGTCTTCTTTCGTAGCTGGTCAAGGTACTTTAGTTCCATGTGTTTTCCGACAAACTTTCAAACAAGCTCTTGTGGCTTTTTTGTTTGTTTTTGTCTTTTTTCTTTCGTTGAAATTGCATTTCTAGTATTCTAAGAAATGAATTAAAACGATTTGCTTCGAGCGCCGTTCTATCCTTCGCGAAAAAAAAATCTCAGCTAGCTTCCAATTATAAACTGACGCGTACACCGACCATATATGGAGAACATGGTATATTAGCTCATATACCACAACGGCTAAGCCAATCAAAATGCTAGAATTGCATTATCCAATGATTCAGTTTTTAATAATAGGCTATAACATATAGCCTAGTAGTAGCTCAACCAATCAGAACGCAGCATTGATAATAGACCACTAGTTGGATTTTTGGTACTCTATTAATGGTTTTTGTACAAACAATGTTAACCCAAATAATTAAGATAATAAAAAAAGGAATTAAAACAATGTTAAAAAAGTCTCTAATGTATTTATTCAAATTCGAAAGAATCTATTTACATCATTACTTAACAAACACTCATACCTACATACATACCTATTTACGATCAATATTTACCACGTCTCGTTTATTTAAAATTCAGTGACTATTATTTATTTTATTTTCATTTCATTATTATTATTTTTTTAACTAAAGACTAGTTTTAAAAAAGCTGTATATACCACCATTACCATGTGTATGGTATATTACGCAACCGTAACAGTGGCCTAAACGAGTAAATTTGTCGCTGGAGAGTCCCCTTGATCCTTCGCTAAACAAACTGAGTTGCGCATGAAAAACAAGAGAACGTATATACTACAGAACGTTTGTGGCTAAAAATACAACTCATACAAGTTTAAGAACCCAGATCTCAATTTAAATATTGACATAGTGAACAGATAGACATGTCCAGAAGTTATTCCGCGGCTTCAGGCGTAAGCATCAATATGAAAGTGTGGCACTCTAGGCATTCCTAGGCACTACCTTTAGAAAGTATTATTAAGCTATGACTGAACTATGAACAATGAACAGTGCACCTGGGTCCTCAAAGCATTTAAATGTAAAACTAAAACAAATTCTGGCAATTTCTAGATTGGAACCCACATTCAAAGTTCATACTACCACACAACTGAAAGCACATAAAAAGTGCTCCATAGGAGCTAATAGAATATTCAACTGCTGATAAGAAAACGTTCTGGGCATGCCAACATTTTTATTTCATCCCTTCTGTGTCCCTGAATATGTCTTTATTTAAATTTTATTTCTGTAAGTACGTTTATACGTTAAAACTGTTGATGGTAGTGGATAGCGGATGGTTCGAAAATGAACATTTTCGAGTCTTTCGGAAAATTATCACTAAGGCTTTAAGTTGGATCACCAGCGATTTAAAGAAAAAAGATCTTGCCTATGAAAACTAAAGTACGTGTTCTCGGGCCTTCTGCCCATTCATATCTATTAAAAACTCTCTACAAACGTCCCTGGAAATAAGCCCGTTTTACCATTTCGTTCTAGCGTCCCTTTGTACCAACCGTCTAGACGTTTTTTCGTTACATAAACGACGTCGCCGATTAGAAGCTCAAGCTCTGCTTCGTGTTGAGGTGGGTACGGTACAACAGCACGGCACCTGAAAGAAAAAAAAATACTGATAAACGAGACAAGCGCTGTTTTAATGAAATGATGAATACGTGAATTTCATATATCACATTAAATGATCAGCTCAGTTGGTTACAGCGCTGCACCGGTACCCCAGGGGTCAGAGTTCGAATCCAGACAAGCCTAATTTTTTTCAGGTTTTTTTTTCGCAACTGCATAGGTCGCGTATTTAACTGTGATGATCCTTTCTTCATCAACTTTATGTTAAAACTGTACTTACCTTTTTCAGCAAGTTTGCTGACGCTCCATTAAAAAAAGAAACCAATGTTTAATGACTGTCTTTTTATTTGTTAAGGACACGGCTAAACTTTACGCCCAATTCTTTAGACCAAAATAACCTAAATCTAAATATTAGTGCAAAATATTAGCCCTTCAAAAACCTCGCCGTCGTGTATTATCAGGTTTCGCCGAATGTTTTTAAGCTTGATAATACACTCCTAATCGTTTTTTAGTACAGTACATGAAAATAAAAAAACAATAATAATAATAAAAAAAAAACACACACACACACAATATAAAGGCTGATTTCCAACGTCGCACCTCCCATGTGCAGAAAATGTATTGTTCTCGCTCGTGTGCATTAGACTCGGCATATGTAAAGTTCGACGTCTGAAACGGACCTCATTGTTGCTAATGCTGCTGTTGAATACCAACCTTTCAATAACGGGTGGGTTTTCATCTCTACTCGGAGATCTCGACTTCTGCCCCGAAATGCCTTCCCTTGAGGGCTAAAAGATCAAGACATCAACATAATAATTAGTGATGAAATAGGGAGGTGCATTACTTAGCCGCGGATATTACCTTGGTTTAGTGTTGCCTCAAGCCTCTGTTTCAAAGCGAGGTTAAGTGTGAATCCATTGATATGGAAATGATTATTTATTCTCATGCAAATAAAACTCATTTTTACAACAAAGGCTTTGCACCTAGCCTCGTTTTGAAAGTGAGTGATTTTGGAACTCAGAAATGGCCTATTGGCTCAGAAATAACACGTCACCTTATCAACCAATCAGAATTGTATGGTATTTCCGCGCATGACGCTCGCTTAATGCATTTGGTTCGAGTATTGATTGGCTGATTCTATGCTTTGTGGCACACGACTGGCAAGAATTTTGGGCAATTTCCGGTTGTCTGAAGTCACTAAGACTAAAATCAGAAAATAGTTGCTGACCTGACTGGATAAAAACATGATCCCAAAGTCGTATGGAGGGGGTGATAATGCACTGTGACCAGCAGGGACATTTCTGGTGGAAGGGAAAGAGAAAAAAGATACTGTAAGATTAATCGTACAAACATGCTTACCTTCTAATACCTGGAAAAAGTAAGCAATAAAAGGAAAATTCACTCAAAGAATTAGTGTCTGAAGTAATTCGTGTCACTTCTGTTTAAATACTTTGTGCTTTCCGCGGTGATTGAAATTTGTTCTTCGACTGTAAATTGCATACGTTCTAGAATGGATGGCTTGATATTTTTTGCTTAAACTACATGTAATAGTTAGTATCTAGCAATAGGTAGACAATCCTTCACTAGAAAGTTTTTCTCTCCTTTGAGACCTAACCATTCAACTTACTGGGTAGACCTTTTAGCGTGTTACGCACCTCTCCCGGACGGATTTCGCTAAAGAGAAAGGGACTGTTAACAAAAATCAAATGGAGGGGTTCATAATGTGGAGAAGGCTCAAGGCAGTAGGTGACTTGACGTTAGGTGCGAGGCCTGCGGAACTGGGGAATCAGGGAATAGAGGAGGATGCCAACTGATGCACATGTCGTGTATGGGGTAAGGTACATGGTACATACAGCTATTTGTAGAAAGGTTGTCGGAAAAACTGTGCACGCGACAATCCCAAAAGGTAATATGGGATATGATCAATACACTGTTCCTGACACTGTAGCGGTCGAACCTACTTTTGTTGCCTTCCTTTAGCACTCGCTAACTTACGTCCATGGCTCCTCTTGCCATTCTTTGAAATTTCTTTGAAAAAACAGTAAATTAAAAACCACCTGCAATACCTTTCGGGATTGTCGGGTGCACTTTTTCCGACAACCTTTCTGGAAATAACTGTAAACAACCCAAGTACATTTACACTACATGAATAGCATCTTTAATGGCAAGGGAGTGTAATTGGGGGCGGGGAATAGTGGACAACAGTATAACTGCATGTAGATAATTATGTACCTTTGATATGGAGGCGGCGGGGGAGGGGGTGGTGTTAACCTTGATCTGTCTTTCTTTTTGCCTTTCAGCTTTTTCCAAAAACCACTCTGTAAAGACAAAGATAACAAAGAATTATACATAATTACATACAACTGTCTATAGGCAGAAATATTTAAGACAATTTTCATATAACGTTTTTGTATACATACCATTCGTTTGAGAAGGACAGCCCAAAACTGGAATTCTTTTGGGGGTATCCAACAACTTTATGTAACTTGAAAGTGGGGATGACAGGGGGTGGAGGCCCGGGAGTATAGGGGGGAGTGGTATGGGTGACGGGAAAGGAAAGACGGGGAGGTGAGAGTTTTTAAAAGGCGGAAAGCGGGAGGAATAAACAGAAATTACGCAACAATGCTTAATACTTTGCAATCGAAAAAGGGCTAAGAGAAGGGGCCAAGAAGAAAAAAAAGGATGGGAGGTTTTGACCCTCCTGTCCATCCCCGCCCCCACATACACACACACACACCCCTCATGGAAGGTTCCTTGACTGAACAGATGAGAAACATGGACATACCGATTTGGGTGCCGGAGGTGGGGGAAGGGGCGAAGTCGGTGGAAATCTGCTCCTCTCAGCTGGTCCCTGGGCAATGTTCCTGTTTTCTACTAAATTTGTTTGACGACCTAAATTGACGACTAGACTTCCCATCATGGTTGTCGATGATTGTTGGGGGTAGGGTGGGGCAGAGTCCGACCGTTGAAATCTAGTCTGGGAGACCCCTTCTGAGATAGCGTGTCGTGGCGGTGGTGGCCTTTGATGCAGAGGAGGTTGTGGTTGAATACCATTTTGTGTTGGCATTTTGTCTTGCTCTGGACTGGTACTTTGTGAACTTGTCAGTAAATTGTGAATGCTGTAAATTTCACAATAAACAGGAGTCAGCGACAGTCAAAACCAACAATTAGTAGCACAAATTAACGTACTAATCCAGGTTAAAGACAGTGCTTCCTTTGCACTCGGCTAGTAAAAAGACGTCCTGGACTTTATAAAGAGGTCCGAGAAACTCATTTTTTTTTTTTAACAATGCCCCCTTATAAGGGAAAGTTGAGGGTTAGGGTTCATCTCACATGGGAAGGCCATGCCCAATGAAATTCAAAGGAAACTGAGTATTATACAGGACTGTCACTTACGAATTTCACGTTCAGTGGGTATATGCAATTAGTAGGCGGGGAATTGAAGAATTATAAAGTACTTTTGGCTCTATTTTGTTTTGTTTTCTATGAAAGTATCTGGGGGATGCGGAGGCGGAAAGGGAGGGGGGGGGGGCATGTTTATAGTAGCCGGGGAAATTCACGGACCCTGGCCCTTTAAGTGACAGCCCGAAAACTTAATAGTTTTCAAAGATAATGACTAAGCTTCAATTTTGTGATAATTCATGCATATTACCTAATGTTTCAGTAAGGGGTGAGCGTGGCCGAGCGGTTTGGGCGCTGGCCTTGCAATTCGGAGGCCCCGAGTTTAAGTCCCGCCCTGACAGTTAGCTCGTAGTCCCGAGTTCAAATACTCGGCCATGCATGTAAACAGCCAACTGGTTTACCTCCAGGCAGCTGGGATTCTTAACCCTGTTAAGTTTAATTAGAATTATTTATTTCAGGCATTTGCATGGCCCCACTAGCATTAGTGCTATAAGTACTGCCGAGGGAAAATAACGGAATTATCATTATTATTACCAGTGAGAATTGTTTGGGTATCCGTGAGTGTCTTGGAAGATTCATTTCATTAGCCACAAATAAGATCTACTTTTTCCAGCTTTAAATTGATTTTTAGGATTATAGAAAACACTCAGGGATTTGGTTCTCTTCCTGGGATTTGTGAACAGAACTAACGGTCTTGACATTACGTTTTTCATCTTGCCAGTTTTTTTAACTGTCCCTCTAAATAACCTATACTGGTGTAACAATTTCCGAATTCAGGTCATTGGTTTCTTTTGGAAATACTGATAATTATTGAGTTCTCCGGTACTCCTAGCTGACACTGAATGAAGATATCAATTTCAACAGGTTATTTATCAGAAGTATCTACCTGGCTAGGCGAACATAATTTCCAGGAAAGACTCCTCTTTTTTGAGTAGTCGCCGAGTATCCTTTAAACCATCCATCTTTGCACTTTTCTGTTACAAAGTAGGTCTCGTTTCGAACCAGTTCCAACTCGTCGTCTTTAGCTGGCTTGTAACCATACAGGGCAACATATCTGTTGGAGGCAATTCACAACCTTTAAGTATGTACGTTTACAAAGATAAAGAGAGTTTAAGGGCCTGTTCATATGGAGGTGGGGAACCCCAGGTAGGTGAGGTAACCCGCGGCGGTTCACTCCACCTATCATGTAAATATGATCAAATTAAAAATGAGCGATTATATGGACAGGCGGGTTACCCCACCTACCTTGGGTCCCCCACCTCCATATAAACAGGCCCTTAGATGTCACTACGGCGACGGCAAAGAAAACGCCAAAAAAGCTGGCAAAACAGCATTTTTGCGTGCATAACGCCTGACGTCACTGAACGACCTCGACGTGAACCGCCTAATTTCACGATAACGTTAACTAGTGGTGGGCCGATGATCGATTATAATCGAAAGTTGATCGAAAAGTTCAAGCGACGCGACAATCGATTATGCTTTTTTCATAATCGATTGTCGCGGAAAAATTAAAAATTTATTGGTGACAAATAAAAGTATTAAAATCAATAAAAATGTACGTTTAATATCTTGGTGTGAGTTGTCTTTTTCGTGGACTTCTAACTTCTAAGTCATAACAGCAGATATAATCTAAGATTGAAGGTGTTTACCTTTGCGTACCCTGCGCGCTGTGTTGTTGTCACTTTAAATACGCCACGCTTATTTGAAAGATGTGGCATGCTAAGCTGCTTTGTATTTCGTAAACAACTGAACCAAAACATAAATTACAAGCTTACTGTTTCGCGTTTGTAGTATCACTACTATCACTAGCGAATGAAAGGTATTAAGAAACAACATCGCAGCGATTTCCAGGGTCCTCTCTCAGACCTGCCTCCCTTACATGTTGCTGACGAGTCTAACATGGCGGCTGAAATGGCCGAGTTGGAGATCTGTCGTTATCCTGGAAACGCCAGGTCAAACGTGCGGGAATATTTTGGTTTTTATCAAGTGAAGGAAGGGCCCAAAACAAAGGAAAACTTGAGATATGACGAAGGTAATCTGTAGGCTCTGCAGAAAGAAATACGCCAACAAAGGTTTGTGGTACGTGTGTTTTGTTGATTTCGTGTCAGTCTCACTTGAACTGCTGCAATGTAATCTTGGAATGCTTACTGGTAGATTTTTCCGATTATAATCGACGATCGATCGATTGGAGCAATCCGATTATTTCCGATGATCAATTGTGAAATCTCAACCGATTCCCACCACTAACGTTAACATAACACAACAAATCTCCCTTTCTCTTTGTAAACTTGGATATTTTTGTTCAGAATTCAAGTCCAGGAGAGTTCGCCTGCATTTGCAAACTCAGCTGGCGAGTTGGGCTAATCGCGCTAAAATTTCAAAGAACGCCAAGTCACTTTTTTTAAAAGTGACGTTTTTGCTGCCGTCGCTCTTGTGACATCTTAGGCCTACATGTAGGCCTATATATTCCGCAAAATAGTAAAATAAGTAAAATTTTTATTTTACTTTTACTTGTTTTAAATCGTTAAAAATTTTCAAATAAGACTGTCAATAGTTTTTTAAATACCATTCTTCTTTGTTTTTAAATTGTGTCTACTATAGCTTTTATAAACGTAAATTTTAATCTTTTTAAATTGACATTGTAATTTTTTTTAAATATTTTAATGATTTTATGTTAACGGAGGGCCACAAGTTTATCAGTTTTAGATCATAACTGTCAAGTGCTACACGTCTACTTCCGTTTGAAGTAGACGGATAGAACGTGTTGGATTATCCAGACTCGTTCAGACGAACTTAACTGAGCCAGACGTCGAACTTTTCATGAACTTTAATCACTGAGTTTGGTTCATCTCATGAAAAGTTCGACATTTCGCCTGGGACTTAAACTCAACCTAATAGGAAAAACAGTGTACGGCTTGTGTCCTAAAGCCCTAAAAGTGAACAGCATCAAATTTTTTCTTTGCAATACAACACGTCATAGAACAGAGTGGTAACAAGAATTAGGGACGTGATCAAACAAGTGGAATTTTGCTGGATATTTGGACAGCTTCTCCCTACTACAGTGTATACCTCTTAGAACATTTTAGTATCAGGGTTGAAAGGTGCCCCAGCCGATTTATGAAGCATGAAGTAATCAGTGCAAACAATAAACCCACATTCTTGGTTGCCGTTCAGACCAGTTGCCTTGAACTCTTTAGCAGGCTAAGGATCCAAAATAATTTTATTACGCTTTTTGATAAGTTCTGTATCAAATGGATCCCGTCAAAGTTCTTCAACAAATTTCATTGAAAACATGTCAAAAAAAAATGCTAAATCTTGTCACGTGAACAAACGGTGACACGGTCTACACTGTATTTCACATAAAATCAATTTCTTTGGACTTTGGACTGGTTAAACAAAAAAGGAAGTGAGAAAATGAAGAAAATTAAGTGCTACTTACAATTCTTTTCCCATTTCTGCTGACACTGGTCTTGAACCCGCTGTATTTGTATTGGAGTCAGCAGGTGAAGCTTGTCTGCCTGAAGCCAACTGAGATGGACTAACAAACAAAGGTGATGAACCCCGCCGTCCAGCGGCTGGCTGTGATTGACTTGATGGACTATTGGTATTAGATCTTGGTGGTGGAGTGTTCTTAAAAACAAAAGAAGAATGTGACTGTTATCTAAGTAAAAGCGGGTATCAAAATAGACAGCAGTGCAGGCGTATTTTGGGCGGTCGAAAGCGGCTTGTTTATGTTAGTACTGTTGAAGGCGCCATCTTTGATTTTATGACAGAGGAAGATTGGGGAGAGTTTAGTGTTAACATTAGGGTCGCCCCATTTCCTCTACTCTTTTGGAGTTTCAAAATGGCGCTTCCACGAGCAAAAACATTCACGCGCCCGAAGGAAACGCCTGCACTGCAGGCTAGTATCAATATGACTGCTGTGAAATTGTGACCATGACTTCCATAGCTGCCTTAGTGAATTCTTATACTCGCCATGATCGCTAGGAAAATAGAAATGCATGAACGAGATTAAGGGCCCGTACACTGTACATATGCGGTGAGCCAGCCCAGTAAAGTAGGCCAATGTAGCTAACCCAGCTGGCTCACTTAATATATGCGGAACCTAAGACATTATACGGTTTTCAAGCCACTGCAGTCAGATTGAAGGATTGGTGGGAAGCCGCCAACAAAAAAACGGGTGATTCAGAAAATTAGCAGGAAAAATTTAAAGGCCATTAATTGCATCTGACAGAAAAACCCAGTTAGGTGCATTGCAAAGTGGCATAATGGTACGCGATTTACCAAAATAATTACCTGTTTCATTACACTTTGAATCTCGAAAAGGTGCCAATATCATATGAGCACCTCAGATTAAAGTCCAACATTTTGATTTGGGATTTTCGTAAGGTGCATGACCTTTACCATTAAAATTAGAGGTGTCGGTCCAATGGTAATCACCTCATCCGTGTATCTTCATAAAAATACATGTAATGGTCATGTGTAAGATGAAACCAATAATATAATATCAACACACCACATGTTTAATAGGAGAGTATAGTACAGGTACAGGTAGGTTGAGAACTCTCGTGATATGTCATTCCTAACAACTGTACATGTACCTTAATAGGGAGCTTTAGCAACAACAACAGCGACTTTCATGAAAACGTCACCTTAAAAATGAATTCGTGCTGCTTCAAATTTTATCGTGCTTATTCCATCTCTTTCAGTTCATCAAATGTTGGCAAATACTTCTGCAATTTCATTATAAAAAGACTGTATCAAAGTTCAGGAAAAGAAAAAGGAAGTTGTCTTGTGTTCATGTCCTCCACAAAACATGAAATTGGGCACTTTCATGTCGTAGTCATACATGTACAGTAACAGCAAAGAAATGAACAGATGCAATGCGATGCATGTGCAAAGAAAACCTAAACCTATTGCTTGTTGACGTTCTCGTTGCCGTCGCCATCGTCATCATCAATTGCTTATGCTCCCTAAAAACGGGTTACAAAGCCCAGAATTACATTGCTTACCTGACTAGATGTACTTTCGGACGACACATATCCTGAAGAAGATGAACGATCAAGAGCATCAGCCAGCCTGTCTGAAGATTTAATATCAAGAGAACGCCTTTGAAGTCCAGCTGACTCGCTCTCTTGATTGCGCTGACCAACAAAATGCATTGTGTGCCTCTTGGGTTCTGCTTTGTTCGTGTCAGATGCAGGGGAATTCCTTTGTGGTTTGGCAGTAGCTTGAGAAGGGCTTTCAGGATGGTCAACACGATCTGCAAGTTTCCTCGCCACTGTGTTAAACTGAAAACAAACAAAAACATGATCATACGTTTAGTTAATCATCTAATAAAGCTTCAAGTACACTGACTGGGTTGATGCCCTTAACAAAGAAAAAATTACAAACAATAAACCCTTCCACGGTTTCTGAAGCTTATGGAAAGTATTGGGCATTTTTTAGTTCCCTTTTGTAACATCAACTCTTGCTATAAGTTACAATAATCAAGTGTCTTCTCATAGACAACTACATTACTTACTTCTACAAAGGATACTGGGAAAATACCCAGTTTGCCATTAAGCCTTCCTTCACACCAGTTTTCATCTACTCGACGTAACACATATATTATATCGCCCTATTGAGAGAAAATAAACATGACACCAGAGTACATGTAATAATCATCTTCACTGAGGCATTTCACTTTGATCCTTGCTGGAGGGATTTTCAAGCAGGGTCGCAATTTGTATCCTCTGCCTTTAATCCTTTAAGCCCTAAGAGTGATCAGTATCAAATTTCTCCTTGTAATATCACTGCTTTATAAAACACAGTGGTTTTGGGGAGCAGGGATGGTGCAGTGGTGAGAGCACTGGCCTTCCACCAATGTGGCCCGGGTTCGATTCCCGGACTCGACTCGATGTGGGTTGAGTTTGTTGTTGGTTCTCTTCTCTGCTCCGAGAGGTTTTTCTCCGGGTACTCCGGTTTTCCCCTCTCCGCAAAAACCAACATTTCTAAATTCCAATTCGATCCGGAATGCTTGAGCGTTTCATACATGAGCCCTGGGCTTGGGAGATTGGGCAACCACTCCTCACACTATCGAGCTTAAATAAAATTAATTTAATTTAATTTAATTTAAATTTAATTTAATTTTAATTTAATTAATTTAATTTCATTTTACAGTGGTCATGAGAATTAAAGACATGATCTCTCCCCACTACTTCATGATTTCTCCCCACTACTTCTACTGAAAACATATAGGGATAACAAATGAGAATTTGAATTTTGATGTTAGGGTTTTAATAAAGGGTGAATGGACTAATTTCCTTTGTCCCCTACATTGTAGCTAGTGCTAATTATTCATGAATTAGGGCTAGGAGAAAAAGGAAATTGAGAATAAATGTAGGTTAAAAAATTTTAACCTGAATATAATTTGAATGGTACATGTAGTTCAACTTTATCCTTGGTCTAACTCTTGTTTTCTTTTTTGTTTCAAACTCATTATCATACATGTACATTATCATTCCCCAAAACAAAAGGAAATAAAATTGAACCACAACATACATGTATACACTGATAATACAAGTAACTGTACATGTAGAGTGCACACCTGTTTAAATGAAAGTAAATCTTGCTCCTGTTCATCTTCAAAGTCAAACAATGCTTTGGCGATTGGTCTGTCAAACGTATCATCTAGGCTCGGCAGTGGATTGATAACCTACAGTGGGATTTTGAAACCAAAATTGCAAAAAGTAAAATCTCACATAATCTCGCTAATCATCTCCCTCTAAGGACCATTGTTACTATGGGTGCATGTAAAGCTGTAATTCATTGATGTACACTTGTATGCCCCACCCATAATGATTACAGCTGTACACTACATGTAATTTGATCCTAAGCCCAGATTTCCATCATCATTATCCTTCTGCCTGAGATGGAATCCTTCACGCCACAGTCTTATAAACATGACTTGCATGTACAAGTCATTTACATTAACAACATTGAAATAATAAAAGAATAGCATTCTAGAAAATCACAGTTTCCTCTGGCTGAGAGGTGGAGAGGAAAGGAAAGTTGTTTTGAATTTTCCTAACAGACTCAACAAATTAACTTCAAGCTACCTGTAGGTGCACTTTGAATGTAAGGCACCCTAAGTGCACACATATATTGTATACTGTACCTCTACATAATTTGCTGGGAGGAATCCTTGACAGCCATTGCACAATCCTTCATACCAGTTTTCATCTACTTGCTTTAGTAAAGTTATAATTTCTCCTTTATGCAAGGTTAAATCACTTAAATTGGAGAGAAGGAAGAAAAAAAAAAGGAAATCTAAATAATTTACAGATGTTTATACAGTCATCATACAGTCATGTACATATGTAAATAACCTTGTGTAGATGTAGGGGGTGGGGGGTGAAATGGACATGAAGCCACAATGCATTTAATATTATAAGGTCCACAAAAATTAATGCTGTCCCTGCAATTACAGACAATGATTCTACAATGTAGATTTATTGCAGCAATGATGTTTTCATGTGCACACTGTAGAAGATGAAGGCCATGGAAAAAATGTGGCAATAAATAAAAATTATTATCAAGTGTCAAAGTTAGAGATTGTCCAGAGCAGGCCTGCTTGGCCTTCACCTGACCACAGGCAAACCAGAGAAATTTGCAAGTTGACCATTCATGTACTAAAACTGCACAAAATGTACATTTGTCTGATACAGTCAAACCGGGAAAACCGTGAACACCGTAAATATGTCTGGAATCTTATTGTGTTGCAAGGAAAAAGCCAATCAGGCATGAGAAACTAAACTGCAAGAATGTTAATTACTGTAAAAACCTGCGACTAAAAACCTGGTTTTTAAGAACCTGTTAGGCTAGGCCCTTTCTATACAAGGACCTGTTTAACCTAAAATTTGAACAGGTTCTTACTTTCTTAAATCTATAATTAATAATAATAATAATAATAATAATAAAAACATTTCAGTAAACTTGGGCATACATTATACATTAGTGCCATATTACGCCAGCTGCAATTGTAAGAGTTCACTAGAGTTCAAAGAGGTCACAGTTTTGCCCATTTTGACTGCAACAGGGAGCTTCAATGGCAACTTGTCATATTATTGTTTGCGGGGTTGAAAGTGGCTTTTCCTTTGATTACGTATCAGCACTTACCCAACTTCTTTTGGTTCATAGTCATACAAAGCCCTAGCACAAGGTTCAGGTACCTTAAGAAAAATTTAAGAGTGGATTAGTTTCAACACACAAGTTATAATTGGCTTTTGTAACAGTTATTCATGTCATCAACCTTCTCTAAACATTACAATTTTTTTTTTTAGAAATTACATGTAGGTAAGGTAAATACAGGAAGAATTGAAAGAGCATGTACAATAGTACAACCAGAACTGATTTAGATGTATACACCAGTGATTTTGATACAAATAGTTATGGTGAGTCCTAGGACTCATCTTGTAAAAAATTAGGAGTTCCAGTCCAGAAACAACAGGTCCCAAAATTGAAAATGTTTGGGCCTTTATGTAACCAGACAGTTAATTCGAAGACAGACTCCAAAACTCTGTATCACAGTACACTGAAATTAAAATATACAATGTACATGTAGTCCTTCCATTTTAAAAGCACAACAAAGGCGACGTAAAAGAAATAATTATGCATCATTAAATAACAGCCATAATAACTGCCAAAGAAATTACACAAATCAGGGCTTCTGATAGGTCGCGGAAAAAAAGTTAAATTTCGCAGAATTTTTGGGACAAAATCGCGGAAAAATCGGCCAGTTTCGCAGGAATTTTGCGGGAGTTTTTGGGGCAAACTTGGCCAGAAAGCAATCGGTAAAAAAACGGCGGATTTTGTGGTTATTTTCAGGGCAAATTTTACTAGAAATTGATTGGATTTGCGCTGATCAGACCAGCATTTTTAATGTTTTTCTAACAGAGGTCATCATTTGCTCTTTCAACAACAATACGCTCCAGAAATGAACCAATGGCAAAGCCTTTAAAATCATGGCTAGTGCCCAGTTTTTTGCAACATAATCTACGCCTGGTAGTTTCAGGATGTTGTTTGCACATTTCAGTGATGAAGTTTTGAAATAAGTTTGCAAGTTTACAGCAAGTAAATAGCCCCAGTAGCTGAGCCAAGTTTCAAAAATGCTGTGCAGACATGTATTTGATAAGATTTATACTGAAGTTCGCGGTATTTTGCGTGTTTTTGTGAATTTCGCGGATTTACCTGAATTTTGCGGCTCTGCGACCGCATGAAATATCAGAAGCCCTGACGAATGGGATATTTCTACAATATACACAATCATGTTCAGATTGTTCGATCGATCTTTGCATCCTATGGGATGCATGCCATGAATTATTTTGCGTCTTTGGGGATTTTTATGCATCAGGGATGCAGAATGTAGAGGAAACAAAATCAGTGATACAGTATGGAAAAACAACTCTATAGCTAGACACAGTGCATGCTCCAAAGTCTCCCCACAGAGCATTGGCTAGAAAATTGGGATCCTGGCTAACTGAAACAAACATTAGTTATTAGGCAGCGTAGGTTGTAGTTTTCATTACAAATATTCTGTTAATTGGTCATTGTGACCAACTTTTGCAAAAGGCATAGAGTGCATTCTTTCACAGGCTATATTTTGAATAACATCATAGGTAATACATGACAAAAATCACTGTGCAGTGTACATGTGTGTCTTAGACAGTCACCTTAATATTAATCCATTGCTAAACAAACAAATTTTTAGGCATCACCCGATATTAAGCCACTTACGTTTTGTTACTGATCCAGACAGCTTAAATGCATTGGGGAGAGTGAAATTCACTGTTTAGTGCTACCAGTGTTTAGTGCTAGCTATCATTTTATGTTTTAAATGTCTGTTAACTCTCTATTGCCGTCTCTCAATCATTCTTTAAGCTTAATGTCATTTGATTATTAAAGGCACTCTATGAGATCAGGAGTAATAATACTCGATCAGATCATAAAAAACCCTTGTACATGCATATCATTTCATATGACTTATTATGCATATGTCTAGCAAAAAGGCCCTCCAGCAGACAAGACTCCAGAAGACCAATATTTACAATGTACCGTACCTTCTGATGAATTAAAAAACATGTATTATGTAATAGTGAGGAACAAAAATCTCAGACTATCAAAAAATGTAAATTTTTGCACAACACTCATTGTGTTGCAACTGGTGATACAACCTGAAGAATATCTTAACCAGCAAATTTGAGATTCTCACTGGAGGTTCAACAGAAAGCAAAGACAACAGTGACTCAGCAGAAGCATGTTGGGTTAAGACATAAACATCTGTACAATGAGATATCGTAATGAGATATTTATTTTACAGTTTTATATCATTAGTGAAAAAATATCTTGATGGCGAAAGGTTTCATGGCTCTTCCAGCAGAATCTGTAACAATTCATCAGTAAAAGAAAACATTTCTCAATCATCCAGACACAAGGAAAATAGAATTACACCCCTCAGAACTTTTCGGTTGAAAAAACATTCTTTGTTTCTCTAATATCACTGTTCCGCATGTTAAAAGTGATGTGGTTTTCATTTGCATACATGCATATTTTGCACGTACTACTAGTTAATTAAAGCTCGGTCATGTGCAATATACACTGCACATGTAAAATAAGAGTGTGAGAGTACTGGAGTGTTGATTTCTACTGTCAAGTAATTAAATCAAATTAGTAAAACTCAACTGTTTCACTCAAAGCAGGTAAAAAAAGTGCAGTTTTCTGGAGCTACAGAAGGACACATAGCATACTTCCCTATTAATAATTATTATCCTTGTTTTAGAGGAGGAGAAATAATTTTCAAAGGAGAAGAATGAATTCCCGCGTACAGAACAAGACAGGAAGGAGTAGAAAAGCTTGCGGCCGACCACCTTACACGTACATTCTAACGCACAAAGTTTGCACGAGTAATCTCTGAAAAAAAACACTATTACAGCACACATGTCAACACACACAAAAACCAAAGGACATCTGTTTGAGGCGAACATAAATTTTATAGATTTAGAGTTAGTGTCTACCATCAAAGATAATAATCAATATTAAAAAGATGCGTTACGTGACCTGTAACATCCAATATTATAGGTCAATGCCCCAATGAATACCAAAACAACATTACTCTGGAATACAATGCAAGTGCCTTTTTTTAAAAAAAAAAACTTATCAACTTTTTAAAAAGAACTTTATACATTTCAGAAAGAAATTAAAAAAGTCATGCTTAAAACGATCAAGATGTTTAGGTGTAAAACTTAACCAACATTTGCAAAATTCATGTGAATACTTGCTACCATTTCCGCTACAACTGATAACGTATGATTTGTTGTTTTAGCACCACGGAAAGCCTCCGAGTTTTTCTGACAATGGGAAATTTTATGACTTACGCCGGCACGCATTACTAGAAAAACAAAGCCAGTAAAACATTCGAACGTTGTAAACTACAATTAGCAATTTAAACATTGCTTAAAGTCCTTTTTAACTTATAAAAATTAACCTTTCTTTAAAGTTCGTAAAAAACGATCAAACTATTAAGAAGGAAATATATTCTTATCACAGGGCGCTTTAATACATCGAAGGGAGGAAATCAGTTTGTACTTCCGGGGCACATACACAAAAAAATATTTCTCTCTAAAAATGTCGCAGGCGTTGAAAGTAAATTGGCAAATGTTTGACCCAGGAATTCGAAGATAATTTCGCAAAAAAGCGGGTCTTCTGTGGCATGACCTTGATTCTAGTGGAACAGACCAAAGCCGAGTGCTGAATTAATGAGGTAAACATATTTATACGGTATGCAGCAACTATGGTCAACATACTTTTCAATGAAAAAGATCCAATATAGCTTCTATTTTAAGAGGATACACTCTTCATTTTCATTCAATTGCGGTCAAAATATTGCCTACGTTTTTTTTTTTTTCAGAGATCGGAAAATGAAAATCGAACATCGGAATTAAGTGTCGATCGCCGATTACGAAAATCGAAATTGAAGTTGCAATAGCTTTTCAATAAAACAGTAAAGAAACAAAAGTGTCCTCTATCTACATGTTTTGTTCGTATAAATTCTATTCGCCACAAACCCCAGCTCCTCCGGCATTCATCAAAGAGCTGCACTGTCAGTCGCACGCACTTTGCGATGATAATAGGTCGTGCGCATTAACAGGGTTAATATTAAAAAAACTGTGTCTCTAATTTTTACAAGGAAATTATTATTTAGCGTCTTAGTTGTTCAATATAAGCGCCTACCTGTTTTCTCTGCTTCGGAAGCTGGCTCAAACCTTCTAGAATTCGTATGAGCATAATGTTCACTGGCAAATCTTTCACGTCCACTTCGACAAGAACCCTGCATTCAGGGCACCTAAGCTCCTTTCTTCTTTCGACGATTTGTTCCAGACATTTGCGGCAGAAGGTGTGTTGGCAAGGCAAAACCTTACAAGTTTGATCAAGTTGTTCCAGGCACACTGAACACTCTAGCAGTTCGTTCAAGTTTGCGGTGTCCATGATGTAATAAGCCTTCAGCACGTCAAGTTAACCAAACACAACTCAAATCTCCGTAGTCTTGGCAATCCTATTACTAAAAGCCTTTCCCCAGTCATCAAAAAGTTGTAATGCCCGTCGCCCCGACGAAACAGACGCCAGAACATACCACATCAACTAATGAATTATGTTCGTACTCATTCATGTCAAGATCTTATAACACAGAGTTGTTGTCATGTCAAAAGCGCATGTGCGAAATGTGGAAATTCACATTATTATATTCCGCTGAATGAATTATGCGGCTTTCGCGGTCTCATTAATACAAATTGAATAGCCCATTTCCGAGTTCCTGTATGATTGGAGACTGGTGCCGAAATAACGCACGGGAGCGAGGCTTCGTGCGAAGTCCCTCTTGGCGGCGCGAAAAATAAAAAGCGATTGAGGGGTTTTCACTGCTCTGAATGTTTTAATATTTATGAGATGGTCTACTGCTCAGTCGCCTGCTGCAATAATGGGAATCACAATCGAAATGATCTGTCATATTTTATTTTTCCTTCGGACAAGAGGCTTGGAAGTTGGATAAAATTCTGCCGCCGAGCGGACAAAAAGTTTTCAGTGGAGTCAGCGAAGGCAAAGGCAGGAAAGAGCAACAATTTGCGGATTTGCAGCGCTCATTTTGACCCCAAAGCCTATAGAAAAACTTTGAACGGTAGGAGAAAAACATACAACACTGCTCTGCCAACTATATTTCGACCAAACGATGAATGCACACCGAGAAGTGTTCGTTACGAAACAGCACGGAAGAGAAGACGGCTGGAGTTTAGCGACTGCAAAACAAACACTCTCTTGCCAAGCCAGGTTTCGCTTGCTGATGCAGATGGAGAAATTACTACAGATCTGGTGGATGTTCGATCGTCTAATGCTGATTTCTGCGATGTTCAGCATGACCATTCGTACTGCCTTTCAGCAGAAGATGATCGATCTTCGACAGTGTTGTTACAAGATACCGAACCTGAGATGGTAAGGTCAGTGGGTTGTCAAACTGACATGACTTTGTTCGATTTAGAACAACTGGAAAATGAAGTTAAAAACCTCAAAAATAGACTTAACGATAAAGCTAAACTAAAACGTGACTTGTTCATGGAGGATGTCCTTGAAAATGATGATTCAGTGAAGTTTTACACTGGAATTCCCACACTGGGATGTTTCAATTTGATTTCAGAATTGATAAAGCCAGAAGCTGAAAAGCTCAAATACTGGGACAAAAACAAGAATAAACAAATGAAATACCAGACAACATCCAACAGCAAACCTGGACCTAAAAGAAGTCTAACACTGACTGAAGAATTGGTTTTAACTCTTGTGAGGCTTAGACTTGGATTGATGGGAAGACAACTGGCTGACACATTTTCTGTTTCACAGTCACAGTTAAGCAGGGTATTCACAACATGGGTTTGCTTTCTTGCATCCATATTTCAAGAGGTACTAGTACTCTGGCCAAGTAAAGACGAAATTAAACGAAACCTCCCTCGCTCATTCAACAAGTACCCCAATACACGAATAATAATTGATTGCACAGAAATGTTTATAGAAAAACCCACTTCTCCTTATGCACAAAGAGCAACTTGGAGTGAATATAAGGGCACAATACCATAAAGGCTCTTGTTGGAATTACCCCCTCTGGCTATTTTAGCTTTCTCTCCAAATTTTGGACTGGAAGTACCAGTGACAGGAAAATCACCCAGGAAAGTGGACTGGTAGACATGCTAGAGGAGGGCGATTCAGTGATGGCTGACAGGGGTTTTAACATTAGAGACATCCTTACAAAGAAGAAAGTTTATCTTAACATTCCTCCCTTTTCTAAAAAAGGTAAGATTTAATTGGTATATTTAACATTTTCACTAATAAGGTTTCCCAGAGTTCAACTGATAATTCTCAATTTTATACTAAGAAAAAGCTGTCAAAATATCACTTTAGCTTACCTTTGTAATAACATTAGACTTTAAAAGCCCTTATAAATGTAGGTACCAAACTATGTAATATTCTTAAAAAAAACACATATACCATAAACTTATGATAATAAGCCCTGGACTTGTATTTGCTAAAAGGTTTTTTCGCAGGGGCTTATTATTGGAAGGAATTTTGCAATTCAAAATGGGCTGGGCTTGACTATAAAAACAGCTTAAACCACTAAGATGACAGCCTACAAAAGCTAACCATAACAGTCTATGGGCTTATATTCGGGATGGCTTATTATCAGGAGGAGATTTGTGTCTGATATTTGGGGGGCTTATTTTTGGGATGGCTTATTATTATTATTATTATTATTAATTTTTTGGGTTTTTTTTTGGGGGGGGGGGGCTTTTTATCGGAGTTTTATGGTATATTTTTTTAAATAAAAAACATTATTTTTCAGGTAAACAGCTATCACGGGCAGCCACAAAAAACACTCGTCAAATTGCTAGAGTGCGAATTCATGTTGAAAGGGCCATCGAAAGATTGAAAGACTTCAAGATATTTCAAGGGAATTTGCCTTTGACCCTGGCTGCACTTGCTGACCAGATGTTGATAGTCTGTGGAGCTCTTTGTAATTTACTTAAGCCACTGGCCAGATAACATATCCCAGATTCCTACAACAAGGATTGTTGAATATTTTCTTATTTAGCACTGCTTCACAACAACAAATAGCAGGAGTATGTGTAATAAAGGATTCAAGTAAAATGTTTTAGCACTCAAGCAGTGAAAACATTTCTGGAAAATCTGGCTGTAATCTGGATTCAATTTCTATTCCAACTATAGGCAAAAGGATACAAATATAATAACACAATTTGCATGTACACATAAAGACATCACATCAACCCAGTTAAATAATATTTATGTAGTTCCACATCAAACTGCAGATTTTGCATAAACCACACAATCACTACAATAAAACCATGCTTTCAAGTTATTTATCAAAAGAAGTATGCTGCACCACATGGGAAGCCCTGAGTTTAAATGAAAACATATATGTGAAGTAATTTACAACAAAACTACACACAATACATCATCAACATCATACTACACATTCATTTCATTCTGTGTTTCATTCCTTTACCGGCTTGATGAACTCAAATTTCAAGTGGCGGCCTCCAGTGTATGGGTCTTCATAGCTCAGCTGGTACAGAGCACTGCAGCATGAACACAGAAGCCACAGGTTCGAATCCCGTTGAAGCCCGAAAAACTTTTTTTTTGGGGCTATTTTGACAATTGCTTAAATTGCGATTCACTGTGATGGTCACAAGTTCAGTTCATTTGTATTCACAGAGTTCACATCACTTCATTCTGTGGAAAACTACACATAAAACCTTATGGAATAAGCTATGACCTTACTTCACCTAATATTTTTCCAGTGAGAAGCTCTGGCACCATAAACTTAAAAAAAACAGTTGTAACTTTTCCAACATTCGCAGAGAAAAACTCCTTGTCAAAATCCACATGAACAATCAAAATCCCCTTGTTTGTATAAATTACAAGATCAGTGGCATGAATCCCAGAGATTGCCATTTGGCCCTGGATTTGGTAATACCAGGAAGTTTCTTCCTTCAGCTTGAAGCCCTTCGTTGTTTTGAGCAACTTGTCAGAAGCTGCAACTCCAGGTAGCAGATTCCGTTTGGCAAACAAACTCTTGCACTCAACTAATGTCTTACCATGACATTCACAGTGACGAATACGATCGGGGCTTGCACCAAGAAAAGGCCACTTCTGATTAATAACAAGGCCAGATTCAAGAAGGTGTAGTTCCTTGTGTTTCAGTGAAATCTTCTTTAAATAAAGTTCTGAAGCAGCAATTTCCTTTTCATGGCCCCACTCTAGCTGCTCAGGTATATGCTCCATTGGGCAGTAGTTCATAAGTAGTTTGACAATGTTTGATTTGTCTGTTGTGTCTCTCATGTGGCACACCCGGTAAAAGTTTGAAGCTGTTATGCGGCCTGATCGCTGGTCAAACCACAACTGACTACTTCCCTGATGCACTGTTTTCGAGCAAATCACATCACACTGACTTTCACTGACAGACAAAAACTTCATAAACGACTCAACAATGTCTTCAGATATATCCATGTTGTTGTCAATGTTGTTCTGACATTTAAAAATGTTTGCATATTCTTTCATAGTGTAAACAGTAACATTCTCCACAGTTTCAAACCTTTCAACATTTGCATCATTGGTAATGTGTTCTTTCACTAATGGTTCTGGTGTGTCTGGATCTTCTGGCTTCGGGAGAAAGTGAATGGCCACTGACTGAGGGTATAACTGTTGTAGACCCCTCCTCAGCTTTTCTCTCATTGAGCTGGAATCAAAAGATGAGAGTCCTGGTTGAAAATTATGTGGTTTTACAGGATCCTTTTCAGCTTTACCAAACTCAGCTTTAACAATCTTTAAATTCTTTAAAAGGGTAGCATACTGACTATTCCCACTTCTTTTCTTCCACTCACATTTCCCAGAAGTGCACGTTGACATCAAATTATTGCTAACTGTGGCCTGGAGGTCAAACAACACAGCGGCAACGTGCCTGCAGCAACCATCACTCCCTCCTTTACACGGGCAAAATGCTGCGTGTACCTCTCCGCTGGATTTTAGAATTGTGAAACCATTGTAAGTAGCCTGTCCATCTTCCGTTTTGGCTCTTTCAGTGGGCTTAACTTTAAACTTGAAGAAACAAAAGTTGTTCTTCTCTAGCGGACAATACTTTAAATCGATAACATGGCCATCACGAAATAATTTAAAGCCCAGCAAACTTTTTAAACGAACGGAGATTCTCCTCAGAGTAATCTTCCTTCCCCCCACTAGGTAGTTGTAAAGGTCTCCGAAGGTAAACTCCGGGATGTTAGAAAAGTTGTTGGTCCAAGCGGTTAAGGTTTTAGGATCTGGCAATTTACCATCGTTTGTCCGCAGTTTGTCCTCCATCAGCTTGTTGCGGTCTTCGGCGGTATCGTCTAACTTGGCTTGTTTCATCGCTGCCGCTTTTTCGCACAAATCGACAAGCTCTGCCTTCCTCTTGCCTTTGCCCCCATCGCTTAACTGGATACCACGCTCTTTTAAATATCTTTTTAAATCATGGACTTTCAATTTCGAAAAATCTTCGTCAGCACAAGCAACATTGCTGTCAAGAGTGGCGTCCATGTTGGATTTCTTCGCACGAAGCCTCGCTCTCGTGCGTTACTTCGGCACCAGTCTCCAATCATGCAGGAACTCGGAAATGGGCTATTGAAGTTCTCGTGACCATATTTTACAGGAGGGGAACCCTAAATAAGCTCAAATTCGACCTAATAAAGAAACACAGTTCTGATCTGTGCAAAAGAAATGCAAACAAAATTTGGTGTTTATCGTTCATTGTTCTCGTGAAAATTCGACGAAATTTCGCGAAATTTCGCCACGAGATTTCGTCTAAGCACTCGCGAATTTTCGTCAAACGAAATTTCGCCGTCATCTTGTCGAAATTTCGCATCCTCTGAAGCGAAATTTCGTGTTGGCGAAATTTCGTCGGAGCGAAAATTCGTACCCGCGATATTTTGCTGGCTAGCCTGCCGATCTGATGGCGGTTCTGGTTGGGTGCGCTGAATATTAAAGACGGGCGCGCGAGGGCAGAGAAACCGCGAGGAGCCATGATCGGGGCACGCAGGCTAATTAAATCCATTTGTTTGGCTCGTTCGTTACTGGCGTTGATACGAAGGGAGCTCGGGATTATTGATCACAAGAGGAAGCAATCTCGTTTAAAATATCGAGCCTGCTGGCTTCGTGCTTCGTGTTTTGTGCTACCTTAGTGACCCTCACTCCGTATACTTCTATAGTTCTGCGCTTTGTTCGCACCTCAATTTTCACAGCTCGACGCGACTTGTAAGAAGCTTTAATTAAATGTGGTCTGGGGACTGCGCACACACAAAAAAACCAAAAGTAATCGCGGCCTTTTCGTAAAAATCCTAGTTGATTTTGTAGGTTAGACTTTCTCTCTTCTTCGCTCGCTCGGTCGCTGCACAACCTCGACTCGATGAAGCTCGCTTCGCTATCTGAGAGCTTATGAGAGGTGAGAACTTATCAGAAGTCGACCTGTTCACGTCTATTTGAGGGCTAGCGGCGGTGAGCAACGGGAGGGGGCTGTATTTGTCTTTTCACCCTTCCCTTTAGAGTTTTCATGTTCTTGGCGGTGATACAAAGAGGTCTCGGCTTTAAGGATAACCAGGTACATGTACCATTCTCGTTTAAAATATCGAGCCTGGCAGCCTCGTGCTACCCTCACACTACCCTCAACTGTACTTCAGCGCCTGGTGTACAGCGCAGTTTTTACAGCTCGACTTGTGGGGTACCTTAATTGTGATCTGGGAGGGGGGGCAGTTCTCCTTGGCAAATTCCAGTGGAGTGTGCAGCCTCAATCCTCGCCTAGAACCCGTACCTTACCGTATATCTCAGACCAAAAATAATATGTGCCCTGTTTCCGGACTTTCAGACCTGAACTTGTTCACAAGAAAAAGACACGTAATTTTTAAACCTTGGTTTCAGAGAGCACAAATTTAAAACTTTATCCTATTCAAGACGGTTGAAATCAATACCACGGGATTGTTTACCCAATGGCAGACTGAAAAGAACTACAACAGTTCATAATACGACTATATCTCTCAATTTAAAAAAGGGGAGTCGCCCCTTTATACGTGTCTCGGTAGCTGCGAAGCATATTGAATTAAAATCATTAAAAGAAGGCACCATCCTCAGCCAATTCCATCAAACCATTGAACAAAGAAGGTTAACTTTCATTCCAATTTTCAGTGACGTGATATAAATCAAAACTGACTCAAAACTTGTTTTCAGAATAACAGGAAGTAATTTAAGTTTGGTACTGACCACAAATGAAAAGTCTTGACGCGAATTGTAATAGTGCATTGTGTATTCAGTATTGTATTCATTTTCTTGCGGTAGACTTTTGATTTTTAAAGTTTGAAGCCCTGCGGTAACAAGGCATAAGCCGGATGTTAATTATTCCTACCCGGAATAAGCTGATTAGCCAGATTCATAAGGAGCTTTGCTGGCACGAAATTTATCCGGCAAAATTCAAACAGTGAGAGCTGCCACCAAACTAAGTGAAGGATAAGAATATCTGCTCAAAACATTAGAAGAAGGTGTAAATAACACAACAAATACAAACGACGGTACGGAGTGGACAAACTCAAAGAAGATAAACAGATTTCCAGGGCCGTAGCTAGGTTTTTTGCCCACGGGGGAGCATCACAGTGCCGAAAGCACGAGGGGGGTCTGGGGGTATCCTCCCCAGAAAATACTCCGAAATACTATTTTCAGCACTCATGAGATATGTCTCCGAAAAATCGACTGTGAATATGAAAATGGCAAAAAATTGCAAGTTACTATAATCAAAATAACCGAGTCTAAAGAAAACAAATTCATCTACAGACTTGATTGATGTGTGTCTGGCTCAAGAGGTCCAAGGTGGGGAAGGGGGGGGGGGGCAGCTACCCCCTTTCTCCCCCGCTATGATTTCAGTTATGGTTTTTGAAAACTGGTCACCCTATCAGTTTTCAAAGTTCGTTTTTGTTGTTTGTAAGGTTTTATATATAAAGGCTTTCGGAACTGAGATATTTGTTTAATATGAGGCTGTAATTTTGTCATACACAACTGAGTAAATTCTTCGCCGTCGACATATTCACTTTTCATTTTTTTCCCGCTTAAAGTCAAATGAACAGTTTAGGGGGGTGGTGGTAAGGAAGTGGACGTTAGTGCGGGGCATTTTTAGACAAAACAAACTGATGCATTTTCATAAATTTTACGTCAAGCCGCATTCGATACGGTCGACTACTCTATTGTCATACGTAAGCTAAATGCACTTGGATTGTCCAAGGCAGCTCCTCTTTGAATTGTATGGAGCTCTCCGGGATACTTACAGTGCAAGCCCTGTGTGTCTTCTTATGGTGGAACTGCCCTCGTGGCATTATTTTAAAAGAGAAAGCAGGACCAATTGAAGAAGCGAGTGTAAATTGTGATCTTGTAAAACTCTGCTCGTAACTACTAGCAAATTATACATTTTACATTGTGATATTTTAACTCTAATCTTAAATCACTAATAAGATATTATGTTAGTATGCTTGGAAGACATCAGATACCCATATCAGATTTGACCAAATTAGCGCTACTATCCCCTGGGAGAATCTGGAAGACACCCTCAGGTAAGTGTATCATCAGTATTCCTTTTGGAATGCAGTGACTTTTGGGGCAGCAAAATCTCAAGTGGACGTTAAGGAGGGGGGGAGGGAGGAAGTCTGACCTCTAAACGTTTAGTTGACGCACGTTAAGCGGGGAAAAAGTGAATATGTTGACGGCCCCCAAGTTCCTATTAGCGAATACAGAGGCATTATTGGCATTATTAACCCAATCATGAACCAAACACTCGCCACACGGCACCTTTAATTTTGTGCATGTGAAGTCTTAGCCATAATTCTCAGCTTAGCTAATAATCCACAACAATAACACGATCCACGGGGGTCAACAAGTCTTTAGCCTACGTTGCAGCCGGCCCACGCACTCGTGAAGGTTTAAGCGTCTGCTACGCAGCCCCGAGGCGGGTGGGGGGGGGCTACTCCCTTATAAGGGCTTAATGAGGACTTGCGGCCAGCGAGGGTATGCTTTTCGGGATTTTTGTCTTAAACAGGGTATCTTTTCTTAGACAGGAGCCCATAACCCTGTTCTTAGACGATAAAGAGCCTGCGCTTATGTTCTACGAATGTCTTAAACTGGGTATCAAAAATCGGAATTTTGTCTTAAACAGGCTGGGAAAATCAGCGATTTTTGTCTTAAACAGGGTCAGGGTATGAGGGGCCGAGCCGCACCTCCCCACCCAAGGATATATCGAGTACCCCCCCGGGGACGCAGCCAAACAAGTCTCTGCCGACTCGAACTCTGTTCAAAGCGTCTATTTCAAAGACTTACTAACGACTGCACTATAAAGAGGTAACATGAGAAGCACGAGAGGATGTTGTGCTCTTAGTTAAACTGATTGATTATTGCTTTTCATCTTCCAGAAAAAGAGGTGAAAGCTTAATTGTTGTGAACGACACCACCATGTCCGTGACGTACAAAAACCGCAAATTTGCCTTGTTCGTTTAGACCATATATATAGCTTTAATAAACTTGCCGCAAATATTATTTTTAGCGAGAGTACCGGTGCATGTGTATTAAACTTCGCTTTGTCTTCCTTGCATGAAATCTCATTTGAACCCGTTAATGCGACCACCATTTGGCCATAAAATCCTTGCCGTACTAACGAGGTGGTCGCACTAACGGGGTCTTCTAGATAATCAAATGACTCAGTGATGTTTACGTTTGGGGTCGAACGAATATGGTCGTAATTATATAATAATGAGGTGGTCGTTTGCTGCGTCTTGACAAATCAAGAAAACGAGGTCAACCAGTTACGCCAATGATGAATTTGCTCTTCACGCGATAGTTGGATCGACGAAAAAAGACAGTGAAAAATCACGCACACCAGTAACTCGACTTTCCACTGTTTTATTGGATGCGATATTGCCACGTTCTCTTTTCCTGTTTACTGTCTTTCGTTATAGTCTCGCTTTCCGAACGAGTAGTTCTGTTAAACGAGTCTTTCCAAACGAGTCTCGTTAAACGAGTCTCGTTAAACTAGTCTTTCCAAAGGAGTCTCGTTTTTCCACGAGTCTCATGTGCAGAACGAGTCTCGTTTAAACGAGTCTCGTTTTCAGAAGGACTTGTTTTTTGAACGAGCCTCGTTTCAATAAGGAGGATTGTTTTTTAAACGAGTCACGTCTTCTTGGCAGATCGAGTAGCCATTTTATCGAGACGATTTTTTCTGAGGCTATCTAGACTGGTTTCCCAGAAACGGTGAGTGATCCTTGCGGACATTCTAAGAGCAACATGAATACAGTCCTTGATAGCGACCAACCGTAAAATACCGTAAGAGTGGGGTGCAAGGAGAAAAAAACGTCTCTATTAAAGTAGAAGAAATTTTAATACGACTAGTCAGTCGACCTATGCGCAATATGAGAAATGTAAATCCAACCAAAAAGACACAGATGATGATAAACTGATGAAACACGGTTTCATTTGTGTGTCCTCTGTCTTGATCAACTGATGCTGAATGTGGTCGG